CGACGACCCGTGGGAATACGAAACGACTCCTGTCGAGCGTTTCACGCCGTTTATGACGTACGTAGGACAAGAGCGCGAATCGCGAATCGCCTCTTAACGTCGGATCTTTTCGCGATAATTTTCGCCGGGCAAATATTTATCCGTGGCCGGACGGATCGCTAGGATTCGCGTAGAACCTCTCCGTACAGGTAGAGTCGGGTAGAAAGCTCGGTCCCGGAAACGTCCGACGCGAGAGTACGGGATCGTCGATCGAGCGATCGATTAAACGACGCGGTAATTGCGCGCAGGGATCGCGGGTGAATCGGTGTTGTTAGGAAATTCTCGATAGAGGCCGATATATCTGGCGAACGACTCGCGTCTAGCAGGAGATACGGAGTCGGGTATAGGTATAGAGACGCCGGTGTGCCAAGGTGGATTTCACTTATCTCTCAGCGTCGAAGCATGCCGCGCGCGGTATGCCGATGCAACGACGATGCCCATTATAGCCGCATTAACTGAAATTAGACATTGTTTCCCTTGCCGGGTTGGAACGATGCAACAATGGGAGGACGACGAAGGCGGATGGTCGGGCTCTGCTCGAACGAACGTTCGGGGCAAACGAAAATGGACGAGAAGGAGGAAAGGACGAGAATGCGAAAAGGTCGGAGAGCGAGCGAGACGGAGCGAGATGGAAAAAATTACGCGAAGCCGACATACGGGGAGGAGAGAGCGTGTGCAAAGTCTACTCTTTTATCTCGTGCCGTTTCTTTTTCTTCTTGCGCTTCCACTCTCCTTCTCTCTTTCTCTGCCTCTCTGCTTTCCTCCCTGTCCCTATCCTCCATGTACACCACCTTTCTCCCCAGTGTGCGCCGAGAGGAGAGATTGCCGATATTACGGCAGGGTCAGGATCGTGACTTTAATCAATTAGCGAGGTTTCTCGGACCCGGGAAATGATTAGTAATCCGACTGACGGTCGATTCTTGATCCTTCGCACACGACGCAGAGGGAGATTCTTCTTCGACCGCCCTCCGCGCGATATCTTCGGTGCTCGAGTTCGCGTACGAACCTCGGACCGCGATAACGTCGGATATAAAGCCTCGTCCCTAGGGAGTCCGAACGAAAGATCGTCGGTTCGCCGGCCAATCGAGCCGAGTTTGATAAATGCCAGCGTTCGCAAGATTTTTCCTCGACGAATCAACCGCGCCGATATCTCGCACGGGAATAGCGAACCGCGATAACGGATGCGAGCTCGCCTATAAACCATAGCTGTATCTACGGTTAACTGCTACTCGCCGCTTACCTCGCTCGATCACACTGTTCCCGAAACTTCCACCGTACCTCGTACCTATCGCGTTCCATTTCCAAAGAACGTTTCGCCGCGGCGTCGCCTCCGCCAACGGATCGATCCGCCAGATTCCGCGAAGCTACGTGATTCTGGTTGGCGCGAACGACTTTGACTCGGGATTCCAAGCCGGTGACGGTTTCTTCGATCCACGACCATCGCCTCGTTTCCCACGTCAAATTCCCTTTTTACGCTCTTCGTTCGCGCGTCCGTTCGAATCGTTAGCGACGCGACGGCGGTGGGGTGCGAGGTTTGCGAACGTACGGCAACGATGCGCGAATTACGCGATTACGCGATCCGAAACCAAGGAAAAACGGTTACGAAGCCGTTACCTAGAGACGAAACGAACCGTTCGCCTGGTCGTATTTGCCTACCTGCATAATCTCTTTGCGAGCATTAAAATACAAAGAAGGCGCATTACCATGATAAAACTATCGTTGGGTCAAGAGTACCTGACACCATTCGTGGGGGATTGCGATCGGAACTCGAGCTCGTTATGCATATTCAGAACGGTGCAAGGTCCACACCGTTGCGCCTATTACCCTTTGTTCCTTCTGCCTGCTCCACTGTTGGGCAAATTTTCCTTTCGTCCCGCGTCTCGCGCGGCTCCCCTATTTTATTTATCGTCGCGCGACCTAACCAGTTTGCAGTGGCGTTTCGACGCGTTCGTCGAATTTCCACGACCATCGTCTATCGTCCGTTTCGTCTCGTTCTCGCGGAGAAAAACGCGCCCGCGATCCGCTTCGAGCGAGGAGAAACGACCTTCGAGACCGGCAGAGCTCTCGCGCGATCAGAATGTGAAAGTTCACTCGGAAAAGGCGGTCAGCGCTACGTTAGTCAGCTTCGCGCACACCCACCGACACGCTCGGCTCTCTGCTCTCTACGTTCCGTCTCTTTCGCCCTCCATGTACAAGTATATACATATATTCCGTACCTTTGACAGCCAGAACGGAGACATCGACGCGTCTCTATTCGCGTTTCCTACTCCGCTTTGCGTCTCGCTCGCTCGCCCCTTCTTCTCACCTCCTCCTTTTTCTACCGTCTAACCAGCACCGCTGCGGCACGATGCATTTTCTTTCATAGGCGAGCGCGAAGAAACGCGTAACGTACAAGGTAAAGTTAGCTCGACGATCGACAAGACCGTGGCCAGGAACGAACGAACGGAACGTCGATAACAGATTTTCGACCAACCGAGATACTTTTTGCCAACGCGCCGTTTTATTCGAACGAACGCGCGTAAGCGATGATCGATCGAGAGTCGCTAGCAAGCGGGATCCGGGGAAAGAAGGGGAGACAGAAGGAGCGAGAGCGGAGCGAAACGATCGAAGAAAACTTGGCGAGGGAGATCGGTACGGGCAATTATGGCCGGAAAAAGGAGCACGATGCAAATATCAAGAGCCGTTGACTCGTGAAACTCACCTGCCTTATGCCGCGAA